TAAAGCCTGATTTCTTTTTTTTGTTGTTGTTGTTGGGGAGTACTCAGGGGCATTCAACCACTGAGCCACATTCTCAGCCCTATTTTGTATTTTATTTAGAGACAGGGTCTCACTGAGTTGCTTAGTACCTCGCTTTTGCTGAGCCTGGCTTTGAACTTATGATCTTCCTACCTCATCCTCCTGAGCTGCTGGGATTACAGGCATGTGCCACAGCACCTGGCAAGACTGAATTCTTAAGTAGATGCTAGATATCTACTTCAGAATATAGTGAAGGGAAGGGATGAGAGGCAAGTCAGTGATGGCTGCCAGGTTTCTGGCTTAAGTGTCTGGTGAAGTTATGGTACTATTTGTTGAAGGAGGGAGGGAAGGAGGGAGGGAGAGAGAGAGAGAGAGAAGGTTTAGGGGCTGACAGGAGGAGAAATGTAGTTTTAATGTTGAATTTTAAATATATAAATGGGCTATCAAGTAGAAATACTCATTAGAAATTTGGAGGAAGATTATGAATCTCAGCTGAAATACTTGGTGTTGAGTTCTAAGTGTATACAGGACACATGGACCTGAGAGTGAGATCAGTGAGGGAAAGTGAGGAACTAGTGTCCAGGCAGTATTTATAGACTAGACAAGAGAAAAGGTTCACTAGGAAACAGAAGGAACAGATAGAGACAAATATGACTATATTATATATCCCTGTTCACAATCCTCCTATGATTCCCTAGTTTTTTACTCAGGAAAAGCCAAAGTCCTTAACAGTGTCCTACAAAACTCTACTATATGACCTTATTTCTTTCCTGAACTGTTACTATCTTCCTCACTCTCTATTCCAGAACAACATTTCTCCTTTCTTTTGTTTGAATATTCTAGGCATGCTATTCTAATTGGGGTATTCTTCCCACATATCCATATGGTCTGCTCTCTTATTGTCTTGAGGTCTTTATTCAAAACTCATTTTGTTAGTCATTCCCTGATTTCCCTAACCTATTATTTCACCCCACAATCATTTTTTTCCTCACCCCCATTGTGTGTGTGTGTGTGTGTGTGTGTGTGTGTGTTTGTGTGTGAACTTGTATATACAGGTTGGACATCCCTAATCTGATATCTGAAATGCTCTGAAATTCAGATTTTCATGTTACAGGTACTCAACTAGTAAAGAATATACACATATACATGGGCAACCCATGGGTACCCTGGTGCCTATTCCTTAGCTAATGTTTAATGAGATAACATTTAATGAATATCTGCCAGGCCATGGTTTAGGGGCTGGTAAGACAAAGATACAAAACAAGGCAGTGTGTGTGTGTGTGTGTGTGTGTGTGTGTGTGTATGCAAATGTTCCAAAATCTGAAAAACTTGAAAAAATCTGAAGCACTTCTTATCCCAAGCATACCCAACTGATGTACACACACATATTCTCTTTCCTGCTTTAATTTTTCTATTTGGCTCTTCTCACTATCTAATTACAATATACATCACTGATTGATTGTATTGGTTTATCTTGTTTCTTGTTTGCATTCCCTGCAAGAATGTCAGCTCCATGAGGGCAGGGATTTTTATATGCCTTGTTTTGTATCTTTGTCTTACCAGCCCCTAAACCATGGCCTGGCAGATATTCATTAAATATTATCTCATTAAACATTAGCTAAAGGAATAGGCATCAGCATGCCCATGGGGTGTTATGAAAGTCAGGGGTAGAAATCTTATCAATGGAGAGAGTGCAGGGCTGGCAGTATGGAAATGGTGCCAAGAAGTCAAGTGAGATAAAGGAGATAAGTGCTTAATGCATATATTAATGAAGAGATTAGGGTCATTGGTGAGATCTGTTTTAAAGAAGCTGGGAACTACAGTCACCCTATATAGCAGGCAATGAGAAAGTAAATATTGCAACCCTAAAAATAATTTTCATCATTTTGAATCTGGTAGAACGCCTCTGGTTATTACTGAGCAACTATGAGTGATAGAGAAACTTTCTACTATATATACTACTGTGCCTTTTGAAGATTGTACCATGTACAACTATAACCTATTCAAAAAAAGGGTAATTATGAAATATATAGGTTTGGATGTGAAGAGTTAGAGAGGATCAGATAGCAGTGAGGAAAGGAATGTGCATAGATGGGTCTTATCTTTTTTGTTTGCAAAGATCAATGGGTTTGTTTAAATGTTATTTTGAAAGAGGTAAAGAGGAAGAGGTTGCAGATACTGCAGAAAGAAGGAATAATTGATTGAAAATGTAAGAAAAGATGTAACCTGGATTTAAGCACTGGCTTTAGAAGGAAAGAAAGGGGTACTTTCATTGTAGGAGGAGGAAAAGATGGATTTATAAGGAGGTAGATTTGGTGGTGGGGAGATTAGATAGTTTCTATCTGATTACTTCATTTTCTCTAAGAAGTAGGAAGCAAGGTTATTTGCTGAGAAAGAAGAGGGAAGTAGTAGATCAGAGATTTGAAATCCACTGTGGATCATGGGGAAGAGCTGAGTTAGGGAATTTTTGGAGGATTATTTTGGACAGTGTAAATTTATCGTGCCCCCGATACAATGTGTGATTTCTCTCTAGCCACATCCAGTGGTACAATTTTATGTAGTTGGATTGAGCCATGGTTGGAGTTTACATGGGGTGGAAGACGGTGGGGCAAGTGAGGATATCTGTAAGAGAATGCTGGAGGGAGGAATTTTCTTTCTTTTTTTCCCCAAAACTTGGGATCAAACCCAGGGCCTTGATCATGCTAGGCAAGCACTGAGCTACATCCCCAGTGTCCCCACTCCATTTTGGTATTGGAAATTGAACCTGGGATGCTTTATTACTGAGCCACATCCCTGGTTCTTTTTTATTTTCTATTTTGAGACATCATCTTTCTAAGTTTCTGAGGATCTTGCTAAGTTGTTGAGTCTGTCCTCGAACTTGTGATCCTCTTGCCTCAGTCTCCTTAGTGTCACAGTATCTGCTCACAGCTTTTAAATTTTATTTTGAAAATAGAGTCTTAATAAGTTTCCCAGACTGGCCTTGAATTTGATACTCCTGCCCTAGCCTCCTGATTAGGTTATGGTTGCAGGTGATCCCCACCATACCCAGCTATGGAGTCTAAGCTAGATAGGAAAATAGAACAAAGTTGAGAAGAGGTGAATAGGTGAAAAGTAGAAGGATCAAGATATTCTAAGGACAAAGCAAGGTGTAGTGAGTGAGTGCTGGAAGTATATACTTGTGGTCAGAGAGAGTGATGTATAAATTTCGTATTCCAGAGATGAAGCAATTGCTCTTTGTTGACAATATCTGGGGGATGGCCATGAAAGTTGGTAGCTGAAATAGGAGTGGAGGTAATAGTGTTGGAAGATGAGAAGATCAAAGAACTAAGAGCCCAGGATGTTGGGCCTCCATGTTGATGCTGATACCACATAGTATATTGGCAGGACTTAGGGTAAAATGAATCTGTGAGTAGGTTCTTCAGTGATAAAAGGGGGGTTTATTGGGGAAATGGGTACTGGCAGTGATGAAAAAGAATAGAAAGTAGTACAGCTACATAGTATGAAACTGAGAGGAATGGGAGATCTTACACAAAGGTAGAGGAGAGGTGATCTTATCTCACTGGAGGGTGAGGGTGATATCTGCTCACAGTGCTGCCCTGAGTTATGAGAGGATCTTGGGGAACTTATAGCTTCTGTTTGCAAGGCAAGAGCTTCCACTTGCAAGGTGTACAATGCTTCTTAGACTTTCTGTGGCAAAGGATCCAGGGTATTTTTTTCTTTATTTCTGGTCTATAATAGACCAATCCTTTTCCAAAATAAATTTTTTACTTAGCTAATATTTTTGTTCATACTATTTTTCTATCACTTATTGATTACTTACTGTGTGCCAGATTGTGCTATATACTTTCGTGATTGAGTCTTTAAAGAAAACCCCTCAAAGTTAATATTGATAGCCACAATTTATTGATAAGCTATAGGTTTACAGACACAGGATTATTATTTGGGAATATTGTGGTGTGTTGGGATCTTGATCCCAGACAGTATATGAGCATGGTCTAATTTCATTGTAGAGATAGAAAATACAAATAAAAAGCAAGAAATAATCACTCATAAACATTATTAACTATAAAATATTTTTAGTGCTTTTCATTTAATAAAGGATCTCAATAGTTTAAAATTTGGATTATATGTTGATTGTATGTTGATTTTGTGGCACTGGGGATTGAACTGAGGGACTCACACATTCTAGGCAAGTGCTCTACCACTGTTTTATATGCCCAGCCCTCTGCTATATGTTGAAAAAGTATTTTGGATATATTGGTTATATAATTAAATAAAATACTATTAAAATTGATTTCCTTGTTTCTTTTTACCTTTTAAATGTGGCTATTTAGAACACGTAAAATTACATATTTGGTTCATATTATATTTCTGTGGATAGAATCTCTTCTAGCTTTGACTATTTTAAGTCTTAATGAAGCTTTACTGTGTGTAGCTTTGTCATAATTATTTTAGATCAGAAGAAATTTTGCATTGATGAAAATGTTTCATAATCTGTTCAGTATGGTAGCAACTAACTACATGTGGCCACTGAACACTTGAAATGTAGCTAGTGTGATAGAGGAACTGCATTTTATTTTTTTAATTTATTATTTTTTTTTTGTTTTTGTGGTGCTGGGGATTGAACTCAGGGCTTTGTGCATGTGGGGCAAGCACTCTACCAATCCCCAGCCCTTGTATTTTGTTTTACTTTAAAATTTTTGTTGTTGTTGTAGATGGACAGTATGCCTTTATTTTATTTGTTTCATTTTTATGTGGTGCTAGTGATTGAACCCAGTGACTCACACATGCTAGGTGCCCTGCCACTGAGCTACAGCCCAGCCTAAGGAACTGCATTTTAAATTTACTTAATTTTAATTAAATGTAAATAGTCATATGTACTAATAGCTACCATGCTGACAAGCTACTGTACTGAACAACACTGTTCTATACCTTATAAAAATAAGATTTTTATAAACCTTGGCCGTTTTTTTCTTTTTCAGTTGTGTTGGAGTTGAAGAGGAGAAGGCTGCTGACATTGACCTGTACCACTGCCCCAACTGTGAGGTCTTACATGGTCCCTCCATTAGTAAGTAGATCTTAGAGTTTCCATCAGAAGTTGGTCTAAAGGAGGGAGAGAACAAAGGAAGCTTGGGAGGGTGATTGCCTTTGTCTGAGTGCTTCAGATTCATCATCTTTAGGAAATAGCAGAAACCTGTGCAGGTCAGCAGCTACTGCAACAAGAGGACGGAAATGTATAGCTTTACCTGCCTTCCTTCCCGGGGATTGCCCAGAGAAAGCACCCATCTTCACTAGGAACTTTCCTGAGTCTGAGAGCCTCATTGACTCCTGATACTTTTTGGGGTTGATAGACAGGAAGAGAGGAAGAATCTGTTGAGGACTTTGTTCTTGGAATCATAGATCACGGCCACTCTGACTCATGATCTCGTGTCTTTTTCTGGCTTAGTGAAAAAACGCCGTGGATCTTCAAAAGGGCATGATACACACAAGGGGAAGCCAGTGAAGACTGGGAGTCCTATGTTCATTCGAGAACTCCGCAGTAGGACTTTTGACAGGTGAGGACCATAGGGCTCTGGGAGGCTGGAACCCATCTCTTCTCAACTTTTCCAATGTCTGTGCTATTAGGTGTCACCCCATTCATGGACATTTTCTGGGCTCCTTAAGTTCCCTCTGGGGAGGAAATTTCTGTTTTGGTCAGTTTCTGAGAAATAATAGCTAAAGTTTAATTTGATGTGCACAATATATTATAGTCCACTTGTAAAATTTGTCCTAGCATGTGCAATACCCTAAGTTCAGTCCCCACCACTGCAAATAAACATACAAGAATGTGCAGTAATTGGAAGGTAGTAGAATATAAATATCATCTTCTGACTTCCCAGAAGTCAGAAGATGATATTTATATGCCCCCACAAAGTGTTAGAACCGGCTGGAAGGAATCTTTTTTTTTTTTTAATTTTTTATTGTGGGTTGTTCAAAACATTACAAATTTCTTGACATATCATATTCCACACTTTGATTCAAGTGGGTTATGAACTCCCACCTTCACCCCATACACAGATTGCAGATTCACATCAGTTACACATCCATTGATTTACAAATTGCCATACTAGTGTCTGTTGTGCTCCGCTGCCTTTCCCATCCTCCACCCTCCCCCCTCCCCACCTCTCCCCTCCCCTCCCCTCCTCTCTCTCTACCCCCTCCACTGTATAACCCTGAGGGTCTCCTTCCATTACCGTGCAATTTCCCTTCTCTCTCCCTTTCCCTCCCACCTCTCATCCCTGTTAAATGTTAATCTTCTTCTCCTGTTCTTTGTCCCTACTCTGTTCTTAGTTACTTTCCTTATATCAAAGAAGACATTTGGCATTTGTTTTTTAGGGATTGGCTAGCTTCACTTAGCATAATCTGCTCTAATGCCATCCATTTCCCTGTAAATTCTATGATTTTGTCATTTTTTAATGCAGAGTAATACTCCATTGTGTATAAATGCCCCTAACAATGGTGCAGCTATGTTCGTCAAACAAACTCTTCTCAAGTTCAAGAGTCTAATAGACCACCACACCATAATCATGGGAGACTTCAACACACCTCTCTCGCCACTGGACAGATCTTCCAAACAAAAGTTGAATAAGGAAACTATAGAACTCAATAACACTATTAATAACCTAGACCTAATTGACATATATAGAGTATACCACCCAACATCAAACAGTTACACTTTTTTCTCAGCAGCACATGGATCCTTCTCAAAAATAGATCATATATTATGTCACAGGGCAACTCTTAGACAATATAAAGGAGTAGAGATAATACCATGCATCTTATCTGATCATAATGGAATGAAACTGAAAATCAACGATAAAAGAAGGAAGGAAAAAGCATACATCAATTGGAGAATGAACAATAGGTTACTGAATGATCAATGGGTTATAGAAGACATCAAGGAGGAAATTAAAAAATTCTTAGAGATAAATGAAAACACAGACACAACATATCGGAATCTATGGGACACATTGAAAGCAGTTCTAAGAGGAAAATTCATTGCTTGGAGTTCATTCCTTAAAAAAAGAAAAAACCAACAAATAAATGATCTCATACTTCATCTCAAAATCCTTGAAAAAGAAGAGCAAAACAACAGCAAAAGAAGTAGAAGGCAAGAAATAATTAAAATCAGAGCTGAAATTAATGAAATCGAAACAAAAGAAACAATTGAAAAAATTGACAAAACTAAAAGTTGGTTCTTTGAAAAAATAAACAAAATCGACAGACCCTTAGCGATGCTAGCGAAGAGAAGAAGAGAGAGAACTCAAATTACTAGCATACGGGATGAAAAAGGCAATATCACAACAGACACTTCAGAAATACAGAAGATAATCAAAAACTATTTTGAATCCTTATACTCCAATAAATTAGAAGATAGTGAAGGCATAGATAAATTTCTTAAGTCATATGATCTGCCCAGATTGAGTCAGGAGGATATAGACAACCTAAACAGACCAATATCAATTGAGGAGATAGAAGAAACCATAAAAAGACTACCAACTAAGAAAAGCCCAGGTCCGGATGGGTATACAGCAGAATTTTACAAAACCTTTAAAGAAGAACTAATACCAATACTTTTCAAGCTACTTCAGGAAATAGAAAAGGAGGGAGAACTTCCAAATTCATTCTATGAGGCCAACATCACCCTGATACCTAAACCAGACAAAGACACTTCAAAGAAAGAAAACTACAGACCAATATCTCTAATGAACCTAGATGCAAAAATCCTCAATAAAATTCTGGCGAATCGGATACAAAAACATATCAAAAAAATTGTACACCATGATCAAGTAGGATTCATCCCTGGGATGCAAGGCTGGTTCAGTATACGGAAATCAATAAATGTTATTCACCACATCAATAGACTTAAAAATAAGAACCATATGATCATCTCGATAGATGCGGAAAAAGCATTCGACAAAGTACAGCATCCCTTTATGTTCAAAACTCTAGAAAAACTAGGGATAACAGGATCATACCTCAATGTTGTAAAAGCAATCTATGCTAAGCCTCAGGCTAGCATCATTCTGAATGGAGAAAAACTGAAGGCATTCCCTCTAAAATCTGGAACAAGACAGGGATGCCCTCTCTCTCCACTTCTCTTCAACATAGTTCTCGAAACACTGGCCAGAGCAATTAGACAGACGAAAGAAATTAAAGGCATAAAAATAGGAAAAGAAGAAATTAAATTATCACTATTTGCAGACGATATGATTCTATATCTAGCAGACCCAAAAGGCTCTACAAAGAAACTATTAGAGCTAATAAATGAATTCAGCAAAGTGGCAGGATTTAAAATCAACACGCATAAATCAAAGGCATTCCTGTATATCAGCGACAAATCCTCTGAAATGGAAATGAGGACAACCACTCCATTCACAATATCTTCAAAAAAAATAAAATACTTGGGAATCAACCTAACAAAAGAGGTGAAAGACTTATACAATGAAAACTACAGAACCCTAAAGAGAGAAATAGAAGAAGATCTTAGAAGATGGAAAAATATACCCTGTTCATGGATAGGCAGAACTAACATCATCAAAATGGCGATATTACCAAAAGTTCTCTCTAGGTTTAATGCAATGCCAATCAAAATCCCAACGGCATTTCTTGTAGAAATAGAGAAAGCAATCATGAAATTCATATGGAAAAATAAAAGACCCAGAATAGCAAAAACAATGCTAAGCAAGAAGTGTGAATCAGGCGGTATAGCAATACCAGACTTCAAACTATACTACAGAGCAATAGTAACAAAAACAGCATGGTACTGGTACCAAAACAGGAGGGTGGACCAATGGTACAGAATAGAGGACACAGAAACCAATCCACAAAACTACAACTATCTTATATTTGATAAAGGGGCTAAAAGCATGCAATGGAGGAAGGATAGCATCTTCAACAAATGGTGCTGGGAAAACTGGAAATCCATATGCAACAAAATGAAACTGAATCCCTTTCTCTCGCCATGCACAAAAGTGAATTCAAAATGGATCAAGGAGCTTGATATCAAATCAGAGACACGCCGTCTGATAGAAGAAAAAGTTGGCTACGATCTACATTCGGTGGGGTCGGGCTCCAAATTCCTCAATAGGACACCCATAGCACAAAAGTTAATAACTAGAATCAACAAATGGGACTTACTCAAACTAAAAAGTTTTTTCTCAGCAAAAGAAACAATAAGAGAGGTAAATAGGGAGCCTACATCCTGGGAACAAATCTTTACTCCTCACACTTCAGATAGAGCCCTAATATCCAGAGTATACAAAGAACTCAAAAAATTAGACAATAAGAGAACAAACAACCCAATCAACAAATGGGCCAAGGACCTGAACAGACACTTCTCAGAGGAGGACATACAGTCAATCAACAAGTACATGAAAAAATGCTCAACATCTCTAGCTGTCAGAGAAATGCAAATCAAAACCACCCTAAGATACCATCTCACTCCAGTAAGATTGGCAGCCATTAGGAAGTCAAACAACAACAAGTGCTGGCGAGGATGTGGGGAAAAGGGTACACTTGTACATTGCTGGTGGGACTGCAGATTGGTGCAGCCAATTTGGAAAGCAGTATGGAGATTTCTTGGAAAGCTGGGAATGGAGCCACCATTTGACCCAGCTATTCCCCTTCTTGGTCTATTCCCTAAAGACCTAAAAAGAGCATGCTACAGGGACACTGCTACATCGATGTTCATAGCAGCATAGTTCACAATAGCAAGACTGTGGAACCAACCTAGATGCCCTTCAATAGACGAATGGATGGAAGGAATCTTAAAAATAAGTAAATTTAATTCTCTCATTGTAGAGAAGGAAAAACTTTGTTTTTGGTACTAGGGATTAATTGCTGCTTATAATGAACTCTTATCAGATTCCTAACCATGACCATTCTAAGTCTTTTTTCATCCACAGACCTTTATTATTGTTGTTGTTGTTAATGTTATGAGGATTGAACCCAGTGGTTATACCCCTGAGCTATATCCCAGCCCCCTTTTTTAATTATGAGACAGCGTTTTGCTAAGTTGCTTAGGGCATTGCTAAGTTGTTGAGGCTGGTCTTGAACTTCAAAACTTACTGCCTTAGCCTATTGAGTTGCTGGGACTACAGGTATGCACTACCACACTGGACAAAGAAGAGGAAACATTTTAAAAATAAAAATTTTTGAGTTGTCATCTATTTCTTTTTCAATCAAAAAGAAGTTTCTTTTTCCTTTTTTTATTGAGCTGCTTTATTAAAAATAGATTAAATAATTTATGAATTGAGCAAAGATAATGAGTTAAAAGTTAATGAATGAAGAACTCTTTTATTTGTTTTTTTGGAGGGGCATTTTCAGGTTTTCTGTGATTGAAGTGTTATTTAGGATTAAGTATTTTTTTTTCATCTTAATATTATATATTTTTTATTTTTTTTAAAGGCCTGTGAGTCTCTTCTCCACCCCAGACCTCTTAGGTCCTTTCTAAGTCATTTAATATCTTGTGAATTATTTAAAAAATAACCTTGCATATATGTTTCTTTTTCTTTTCTTCTTTGTATAAACCAGGGATTGAACCAGTGGCACTTAATCACTCAGCCACATCCCTGGTTCTTTTTAGTTTTTATTTTGAAAGGGGTCTTGCTGAGGGCCTTGCTGAGTTGCTGAGCCTGGCTTTGAACTTGTGATCCTCCTGCCTCAGCCTCCACGCTGCTGGGATTGCAGGCATGTGCTAATGTGCTCAGCTCTTTTCATTTTTGGACACAAATGGAAACCATATATTCATCTTCCTTTTTATAACTTAAACTATATATCTTGGAGATAAATCCATAACGGCAAATACTGATGTTCTTCATTCTTTTTAAGGCTATTTAGTATTACATTATTTGGATACAACATTTATTTAACTAGTTCTCTATTGATGAACATTTAAGTTGTGCAGATATTTTGGTATTAGAAAAATACTTCTGTGAATATCTATGTACTTAAAATTTTTGCATACGTGAACATATATGTAGATTTACTGTCTTTCAGTGAAATTGTTAGGTTAAAGAGGATGGGCTTTAAAATTTTAAATGTTGCCATTTTTTTTCATTGTGTTTGCACCATTTCATACTCCCACAGACAATGTGTTAAGGGTGCTGATTTCCCTATATCCTACCCAACATTATTTATTATCAAACTATTTTTGCCCTTCTGATAAGATACAATGAAATATTTTTGTTTCTACTCGTATTACTTTAATTATGAAGGAGGTAAATGGATTTTTGTACATTTATATGTCATCTTTATTTCTTTTTTAAATATTTATTTTTTAGTTGTAGTTGGACACAATACCTTTATTTTATTTATTTATTTTTATGTGGTTCTGAGGATTGAACCCAGGGCCTCACATGTGTTTTTGAGCTCTCTACCGGGGAGCCACAATCCCAGCCCTCATCTTTATTTCTTTGTCTGGTAACCATCTGCTTATATTGATAATTTTTCAATTGTTTTACTGTTTCTTAGTAATTTATAACAGCTTTCCTTGAAGAAATTTTTAATTTTTTATTTAGTTAAATTTGTTTATTACTAATTTTAGTGACTACTGGGTCTTGGCGCTCTCATGGTTTTCCCACTATCCTTATGGCTTTAGTTTTTGCAATTTAATCTTTGGGCCACTTAGAGTTAGATAGATATTAAGCTCTTAATATGTTTGTCCTAACACAACTTGTCAAATAGTCTATTATCTTTTTTTTTTTTTTTTTTTTGTGGTGCTGGGGATTGAACCCAGGGTCTTGTGCCCACTAAGCACATGCTCTGCTACTGAGGTACATCCCCAGCTAGTCTATTATCCTTTTTTGTTAGTACCAGGGATTGAACTCAGGGGCACTCAACCACTGAGCCACATCCCTAGCCTTATTATGTATTTTATTTAGAGACAGGGTGTCACTGAGTTGCTTAGCACCTCGCTTTTGCTGAGGTTGGCTTTGAACTTGATTCTCCTCTCCTAGCCTACCAAGCTTTTGGGATTATAAGTGTGCATCAGCATGCCAGGCTTAAGTCTTTTATCTTTTTACCAGCATGTTCTTTTTAAAACTCCTGTTGGGCTGGAATTGTGGCTCAGTCGTTGAGCACTTGTTTAGCACACTTGAGGCCCTGGGTTCAATCATCAGCACCACATAAAAGTAAATAAATAAAATAAAGGTATAAAAATATTTTTAAAAAAGAAAAACTCTTGTTCCTTGCTAATTAAGAATGTTGAGAAAATACTCTCATTGGCTAATGTTTTAAATGGAATGCTGTTGCTCTGGGTTAAAACAAATCAGCTATTTTTATTAGACGTGTCTTTTCTTCCTAGGCAGGCTGTTCCTGATTTCTTCTTTTGTCATCCAGAGAAAAGCACCCTATTGACTGGATATTCCTGAACTTTGCCAATGACCTTATCTTTAGCCTTGGACAGGTTGTTTCTTCCCTGGCACATGAGGTTTATGCCATTAGTCACCAGTTCATATGAGGCTCCCCGGGGATGACCCCACTCTTTGAGTAATAGCTTCCCATGAGGCCTTTAGTGAGCCCAGCCTCAGACTCAAGATTTCTTTCCTGTGGCCCACAGCTCAGATGAAGTAATTCTGAAGCCCACTGGAAATCAGTTGACTGTGGAATTCCTGGAAGAGAATAGCTTCAGTGTACCCATCCTGGTCTTGAAGAAGGATGGGTTGGGAATGACACTGCCCTCGCCATCATTCACTGTGAGGGATGTGGAACACTATGTTGGTAAGACACTGCAGATCCTCTTAACTGACATATTCCACTCTTACCAAGATCTATGTCCCTTTCCCTCCAATCCACCTTTTGCATTTACTTTCTAGTCATCTTGGGCATCTGAATAGCTTGCCTGGAGTCATTCTTGGGTAAAGCTAGAGCCAAAATCTTAAGTTTCCTCTTTTTTCCTCTTAATAGACCACAAAAATTAGGTTGAGCCCCATTTTTGCCTGTGGAATTTTAGGGATCATGGCTTTATTGTCCTCGGTTGAGATAAGTGTCTTTGACTCTTACCCTCATATGCCAGTTGTTACTCTGGACATGATTTTGGGGGGATAGAAGAAGAGAATGAGGAAATAGGGCCAAGGAAGGTAGGATGTACTCTGTGTGGAACTCTGTGTCAGGTAGTTTCATAGTCCTAACAAACCTGGACCCACCACATAGGTCTACAGTAAGTGTAAGTGATGTATTCCTACCTTACCTCCTTAATGCACATACACACACATGCATACATATATACATCATTCAAGGACAGAAGTTTTGAGTAAAAGGCCATATGCTTGTGATAAACCAGTGAGTCTTCCCCTTTCCTTGATTTCACTTGGTACAGAACCAATCTCTTTACTCTAGGTTCTGACAAGGAGATTGATGTGATTGATGTGGCCCGTCAGGCTGACTGCAAGATGAAGCTTGGTGATTTTGTGAAATATTATTACAGCGGGAAGAGGGAGAAAGTCCTCAATGTCATTAGTTTGGAATTCTCTGATACCAGGTAGGAGGGCAAGTGTAACAAAAAAAAAAAAAAAAAAAAAAAAAAAACTCTGACAAAGTGTCTGCAACTGCTGGTATGCTGAGTATATATTTGTGTTCCTTTCCCTTTTTCCTGGTAGTTTTAGCCTTTGGGATGAGATTTGTGTTATACTTTCAAGGGTAGCCACTCCCATTATAATGAGCAAGTCATATTTCTTCTCCAGAGTTTCTAACATTAGAAAAATTATATAGTTTCTTTTAATTTTTGTCTCCTTCAAGGCCTAGGACAGCATTCCAAATTTTTACAGTATTTAGCTTGTGTCCTGGTCATTGTCTAACTACTGCTGGGATAAGTCTTCTGTCCCTGGAAATAGATTGACTAAAATTGCCCCCATGTAGTTTCTCTAATGATAAAATGAAAACAAAGCTGTATTATAGACTTTAGATGATTCCATTTGGACTCATGTACTCAATAGATACATATAGTCTTCGCTGTATACAGACTGGAAAATACAAAGAAATTATAACATGTCATTTTACCCTTAGGGATGCTTACTGTCTAGTTATTTATGTTTTTTACTTTTAATTTTGAAATACTTGGAGATTCACAGGAAGTTACAACAAACTGTGTAGGAAGGTCCTGTTTCCCACAATGGTAACATCTTACATAATTGTAGTACAATATTAAAACCCTTGCTGTTATTTTTAAGATTCAAAATTAAACAGGTATTTAAGACCTGTTTGTTTTTTTTAAATCTTGCTTTATCATGAAAGACTATCTGAGATAGCTTACAGAGATGCAGAGAGGGGGAAAAGAGAATATTAGAATATTAGAACAAAGGAAAATAAAGGTGGAAAAATAGGGAGCATATGATAGTACTCTGTACATGCCATGCAATGTATGAATGTCTGGATAGTCGGGGTGGACTGAGTTTTCACTGAATTTTTTAAAGGTTGGAACAAAGAGGAGAGTGCAACATTATAAGATCTGTAGTTTTATAAGGGATAAAATCAAGCAGATGTTTCAGAGTAACACTTGTTTACCCAGAACTGATCCCTGAGAGGTTTAACTAATGACTTCTCATAAAGAAGATACTATGAGGGGCTGGGGTTGTGGCTCAGTAGCGGAGCACTTGCCTCACACCTGTGAGGCACTGGGCTCAATCCTCTGCACCACATAAAAACAAATGAGGGTATCGTGTCCATTTACAACTAAAAATTTATATATATATATATATATATATATATATATATATATATATAAATACTATTATATATATATATATTTTATATATATATAAAAGATACTATTAGGTGGAGATGATACAATAACTTATAAACTAATTGTCAAGTATGGATAGTATGAGCATTTAGTGGAAGAAACAACTACCTTCTCCTGGGAAAGGCTGTGGTGTTGGGGTTTGGATTTTGGGAACTGTGTGAAATAAAGATGCTGATCCAACTTATACATAGAGAGAACTTGTTCTGTCTTATCTGTCAATGAGATACTGGGATTTTATTCAGGTATCATCCTTCAGTTCCCAATCAGAACTAACATTTGCTTTCTACTCCTTCCTTGGTAGGCTTTCCAACCTTGTGGAGACACCTAAGATTGTTCGCAAGCTGTCATGGGTTGAGAACTTGTGGCCTGAGGAGTGTGTCTTTGAGAGACCCAATGTGCAGAAGTACTGCCTCATGAGTGTGCGGGATAGTTATACAGATTTTCACATTGACTTTGGTGGCACCTCAGTCTGGTATCATGTGCTCAAGGTAGGAATGGATACGACTTCTGGAGGCAGCCAGGCCTTGAGCATCCCTGCTTGTGTCAAATGACAGCACAAAATATGCTGCTTGGGTCTACTTACCTCCTAGATCCTGTTTGGGTGATATTTCTATATAATTATTCTGTCAGGATTTTCTCCTTGGTGGATGTTCCATATAATAAAATGATGATGGTCTGTTTCTATAGTTTTAATGCTCAATCAAAATTTTTTTTTGAATAACAGCAGATGCCTAAGTTTTTCCCCCACTGTTACCTCCTTAAATGAACCAATTTGTACTCCAACCAACATGTATAAAAATGTCCATATTTACTTTAGAAATTCTGGTATCATGAGAAACTTCTGCTCCCCTCACATTTATTAAGGTATAATTCATACACATTAAAATTCATCTATTTTAAGTGTACAGTTAAATGAGTTTTGAAAATTGTATACAGTCATTTATCTGCCACCATAATTATAATAGACTACATATGAGAAGTCTTTTAAAGTCACAATTTCTATAGTTTTCCTTTCACTCGTTATTATAATTAGTAATTAGCATATTGTCAGTGATTATAAAGGATTTTTGCTGTCTGGAAAACAAATTTCCTAACTAAGTTTGATTGTTTTTCACCATTGTTCATACTATTTAATTTTCTTAATAGAAATGCCAAGGAAAGTGTGCAGGCTATTTGGATGATGGTTGATGTCCAAATGATTATACCTTTTCAACTAGTTGTTTCCATTGGTTTATCATGAAAAGATTGGAGCCAGGTGCTGTGGTGCACACTTGTAATCTCTAAGATACTGAGCAGGCTGAGGCAGGATGTTTTAGTCAGATTTTTTGTTGCTGTGACCAAAGTCCTTTAAAAGGTGAATAGTTTATTTTGGGGCTCACAGTGTAAGAGGTCTCAGTCTGTAGATGGCCTACTCCATTCCTCTGGGCCAGAGGTAAACCCCAGGACATATGGTGGAAGAGTGGTAAAGGAAAGCAACTGGGAACACGATACCAGGAAGCAAAGAGAGAGCTCTGCTGAACAAGGACAAAATATAAACCCCAAAGGCATACCCTCAGGGGCTCACCTCCTCCAGCCACACCTTACCTCCCTTGGGATACTACCGCATTAATCCCCTGAGAGGGGGATTAATGCACTGATCAGTTTAAACTTTTTAAACCCAATCATTTCCTCTCTGAACTTGTTTGCATTGGCTCATACATGAGCTTTTGGGGGGACAACTGACATCTAAGCCATAACACAGGAGCATGGCAAATTTGAGGCCAGCTTGTGCAATTTAGCAAAATCCCACCTCAAATTTTTTTTAAAAAAATGTGTTGGGGATTTAACACAGTGATAAAATTTGACCAGCATGTGCAGGTTACTGGTTCCTAGTACCACCAAAAAAAAAAAAAAAAAAGAAGAAAGAAAAGAAAAAAACTGGAGCCTGCAGCATGTAAATAAAAAATGCTGCTGATGCAAATGCTAGATTTAACTCTTATTTTGTTTTTATTATTATTTTGTCACTGGGGATTGAACACAGGAATACTTCACCACTTTATATTCTCAGTCCTTTTTGCTTTTTATTTTGAGGCAGGGTCTCACTAAGTTCCTCAGGCTAGCCTTGACTTATGATCCTCCTGTCTTAGCCTCCCAAGTTGCTGGGATTAGCTTAAGTCTTTATTTTTAAATAATTTTATTTTCATAGAAAAGTTAAAAAAAACAAAGGGAAGATTTCCTGTGTATTCTCCACCCAAATTCCCCAAATGTTACCATTTCATTATATTTTTCTCTTTAAATCAAGCATAATAAAATGTATGTATGTGTGTATATATGTATACACACACACTTTCTGAGAACTTGAGAGTAGTTTCAGACATAGTGTCCTTTATCTCTAATAATTCAGTATGTAGTTCTTAAAAGCAAAGGTATTCTCTTATATAATCACAGTATAGTTATCAAATGAGGAAATTAACATTGATATAACACTATTAGCTAATCTACAGGGCTGTCAAATTTCTCCAGTTGTACAGTAGATATTTTTAGTTTTGCTTTCCTATGTTGAAATTTATTATTGTGAAATACTTGTTAAACAATAAAGCTATGGGAATATCTTTATGATAGTGGGTTTTTGTTTATTTTTTGCTAAATTATCTATCTGGTGATTATCCAGGCAAAACACAATTAGGAAATAAAATGTTCTTCCAACAGATAATCACCTAACATATAATCTTCCAGAAGTCCTTGGGCGATTACTGAACTTTTAAACTTTTATTAGCTTTGATTGCAGATGTGAGAAGGAACACTCTGTAAATGGCATTTGAAGGCAAATTCAATTTTCTTCTCATCAGTAATATGGCCTTATAGTCTCCTAGGGTTAGTAGTATTGATCTACTCATCTACAGAGGCCATTTTTCATTTGGCATCATATCTAAAATGGGAGCACTTGGTGTACATTTGTCCTAACTTGAGCAGTTTTGTTCAAAATGCCCCTTTCAGATTGTTTCTGTCAAATTTGTAGAAACGAAAAAGTGCACAAAGGACTTTTGAAGTTTTCCAAATTAATATAAAAATGATGGTTGATGGATCTAGGAAAGAACCCTGACATCTTGCCATAGTCATGGAGTATGGGAGAGAGAATAGGTTTTTGGAACACCTCCAAAGGACTTTTCTGGCAACTCAGGGGGTATTTTTGGCCCTTCAACTTCTTTTTGTTTCAGGGTGAGAAGATTTTCTACCTGATCCGCCCAACAAATGCTAATCTGACTCTCTTTGAGTGCTGGAGCAGCTCCTCTAATCAGAACGAGATGTTCTTTGGGGACCAGGTGGACAAGTGCTACAAGTGTTCCGTGAAGCAAGGACAGACACTTTTCATTCCTACAGGTCTTTCCTGGGCTCCTATGGGGGAGGTTTGGGGAAGTTGTAAAGAACAGAGCTGTGGCACCATAGTCAGTTTCTTCCCATAATGTATTATCCTGATTATGTGGTGTATCTCTCTCATACCAGCTGAAGGCTGAGAACTAGACCTCAGGAAAATTCATGTGGTGGCCAGTAAGCAGCATGGTTGCTTGGGGGGAGGTTGCAGATAGAGGGGTTAGGATGGGTGTCCAGGAGGAGGCTGGTGGAGTTCTTTGCATTGGGTTAATGTCAGTTTGCTAGACAGAGAACAGGCTTCTCTCTGCTCCCAGTATAGGAATAGTGACTGGAAGGCTTATAGTCTAGTCAGTAAATTAGAATAACCTGTGCTGAGGGTGGAACATTTTTCCTTAAACAATATATATCTGGCTTTTACTTATAGAATTCTTAAATCTGAGATGGGATCTGAGTTTGTGTTTTTTTGAAATAATTTCCCAGTTGTCTCAATTAGGGGAGAATTGACATCTTCACTTGATTAAGTCTTTCATGAACACAAACATCTCTTCATTTATTTAGATATCTCATGTCTTATATAATCACAATTATTGTGAAAATTTTTTGAAGTTGGTCTTTGGTAAAACTCTCTAGTGAAATCACACGGACCTGAAGATTTCTTTTTTGGGGAACTCTTTAGTATTCAATTTCTGTAATATTTATAAGGCCATTGAAATTGTCTATTTCATGTTAGATGAGTTGTGGTAATCTATGCTTTTCAAGGAATTGGCCTATTCTATATTTTTAATTTTTTTTTGCAGCACTGAGGATAGAATATCTCAAGTACATAATCTACCACTGAACTATGCCTCCAACCTTTTTTTTTTTTAAAGAGAGAGTGAGAGAGGAGAGAGAGAAAGAGAATTTTAATATTTATTTTTTAGTTATCGGCGGATACAACATCTTTGTTTTGTATGTGGTGCTGAGGATCGAACCCGGGCCGCACGCATGCCAGGCGAGCGCGCTACCGCTTGAGCCACATCCCCAGCCCCCCCCCAACCTTATTGTATCTGAATTGTCAAATTTATGTGCATAGGCCAGGTATGGTGCTATGTGCCAGGTACTCGGAAGGCTAACGCTGGAGTATTGCTGCTCATGAATTTTTTAAAAATATATTTTTTAGTTGGAGATGGACACAATACCTTTAATTTATTTATTTGCTTTTATGTGGTTCTGAGGATCGAACCCAGTGCCTCACACATTCTAGGCAAGTTCTCTACCACTGAGCTACAACTCCAGCCTTGAGCTCTCATGAGTTTGAGACCAGCATGTGTAACATAGTGAGACTACACCTCAAAAAATTTTCCTTAAAATTTATGTGTATATAGTTGTTCATAGTATTACCTTTTTGATGTCTTCCAGATCTATCCTCTGTTTCCTTCCTGATATTATTTGTGCCTTCTCTTTTATTTGCATTAATCTTGTTAGAGTTGGTCTATTTCATTGATCTTTTTAAGAACCACCATTTGTTTCATTTATCTTTTCCAATTTTATTGATTTCTGCTTCTATCTTTATTTTTCCTTTCCTCTGCTTGCTTTGGATTTACTTTCCTCTCCTTTTTCTAGTCTTAATATGGGAGCTTAGATGATTGAAGACTTTCCTTCTTTTTTTTAAATATTTTTTACTTGTCAATGGGCCTTCATTTTTTCTTATTTACATGTGATGCTAGGGATTGAATCCAGTGCCTCACACATGCTAGGCAAGCGCTCTAGCACTGAGCCACCACCCTAGCCCCTTTTCTGATGTAAACATTTAGTGCTATAAATTTCCCTCTCAGTACTGATTTAGCTGTGTCACATATTTTGATATGTTGTATTTTTATTTAAATTTAGTTAAATTTGCTTTTGAAAAAAAATTGAGATATAATTCATATAGCATAAAATTTACTACTCTAAAGGGTACAGTTCAGTTGCTGAGGCAGGCTTTGAACTTGCAATCCTCCTGCCTCAGTCTTCCTGAGCGTGCCACCATGCCTGGCAGCAGTCACTTAATATTCCTCCCTCCTCCCAGCCTTTGGCAACTACTTTTGTACTTCCTTTGTGTATGAATTTTCTCCCTTGACTATTTCACATAAATGGAATCATGTAATATGTTATCTTTTGTCTCTAGTCTCTTTCACTAAGCATGTTTTCAAAGTTCATCCATGTTGTAGTATGGGTTTATAGTTTATGGGTTTATAGTTATGTTTATGGGTTCATGTTATAGTTCTTTGTTCTTTTGAATAGCTAAGTAATATTCTACAGTGTGGGTTTTGCCATATTTTGTTTATCTATTCATCAGTTGATAGTTGAATTTTTGTATGATGCTGAGGATCGAACTCAGAGTGCTCTACTGCTGAGCTATATTCCCAGATCCACCATTTTTTTGATTTATGAATAATGTTGCTATGAATATTCATGTATAAGTTATTGTGACAGCATAACAGGTTGAGAATTTCTATTTTGAAAATATGAATTCTAAAACGATCTATAATCTGAAACTTTTTAAAATGTGTGTGTGGTGCTGGAGATTGAACCTGGGGTTTTATGTATGGAAGGCAAGCACTATACCACTGAGCCACAACTCTAAAATCTGAAACTTTTTGAGCACCAGCATAATAAATGAAAACTTCACATCTGGCCTGGTCACATTCAAAACATGGCTAAAAATAAATAAAAATTCCTTTAGCATATGCACATAAGGTAAATATGAATCATAAATGAATTTCATGTTGACTTGCATCTCATCCCCAAGATGTTGAAACTTTTGGTCACAAGCATTTCAGATAAGGGATACTTAATCTGTATTTTCAGTGCTCCTGGTTATGTACATGGGAGGGGAATTGCAGGATGATACCGTCACTGTTTATCTTTTTGAGGAACTGCCATACTAGTACTGAAGCAGCTATATGTACTGTTTACATTCTTGGCAATAATGAATGAGAGTTCCAACTTTTTTATATCCTCCCTGACACTTGTCATTGTTGGTCTTTATGATTATAGCCAGCCTAGAAGGTATAAAGTATTATCTCATTGAGATTTTGATTTCTGTTTTCCTAATGACTATTGATGTTGAACATCTTTCCATGTGTGTGTTGGATGTTTGTATATCTTTTTTTTCAAAATGTCTATTCAAATCCTTTGCCCGTTCTGTGATTTGGTTGTCTTTGTATTATTGAGCTGTAAGAATTCTTTATACATTTTGGATACTGGACCTTTATCAGTTACTTTATTTGAGAATATTTTCTTTCATTCTTGGAAATTGTCTTTTCACTTTCCTAGTAGTATCCTGGGAAGCAAAAAAGTCATGAATTTTGATGCCCAGTCAGTCTATTTTTCTTTGCTTATGCTTTTGATGTCTATATGCAGAACTGTTGAAGATTTATGCCTCTGTTTTTCTTCCGTATGTTTTATAGTTCTCTTGTTCTTATATTTAGATACTTTATTAATTTTGAGTTAATTTTTATATATGGTATGAGAAAAGCATTCAATTTCATTATTTTCCATGTAGAATACCCTGTTGTCTAAGACCATTTGAAAATTTTTTTCTTCCAATGAATTATCTTGACACCTCTATCAAAAATCAGTTGATACAGATATACGGATTTATTTCTGGACCTTGAATTCTGTTACATTGATTTGTATCCTTGCGACAGTAACACTGTTTCAATTATACATTTGTAGTAAGTTTTGAAATTGGGAATTTTTAATTCTCCAACTTTTTTTTCAAGATTGTTTTGACTCTTCTGGACCTCTCAAATTTTATTTGCTATAGTTATTTTTAGTGGTTGGTCTAGTTATTAACATTATATATTTATAGCTTATCACAGTCTACTAGTATTTGCATTTTGGCAGTTTAAGGGAAGGGTTTTGGTCTCATATTCTCTGAAGTAGTCTCAGGGAGCCCAAGAATGACCTGGACCACACCTAGAGAACTGTGAATGTAGAGGAGCCAGTTTGGCTATTCATCAATAGCCAAGATGAGAAACAATGAGGGATCTGAACCAAGGCATTAGTATGATGGAATAGAGGGAGAAGGGGAAATAAATATGGAAAAGATTTAAGAACAAAAATCACAAGGTTTCAGGAAGAAAAGGGCCACATGGAAATTGTGTTCTAAATGGGTGCATGCTTCACAACCAACCTGTAAAATAGATATTTAGCCAGGAAATTTCCGAATTTGAACCCAGGTCTGTATAGCACAAAAGTTATTTTTGTTTTTTTCTGGGTAGAGTTAAAAGGAGGCATTATGGCAAGGAGGTGATATCCTTAGAGATGAGAGAGTGGTGAGACAAGAGTAAGATTTTTTGTAGTGGGGAAGGAGGCAAGTAGAAGTTGTTTAACCTCATAGGTTGATTCAGTTCAGGATTATAGCGATGGCAGACTAGGCCAGGTTGGGTATTGAAATGATAGAAGAACTAAGAATGTTCTGAGTCACTCTTAGGCCAGCTGTTCTTAAGGAGTTGAGATTAAACTGAGCAAGCAGTAGAGATGTCAGGAGGAAGAAATGTCTTCTGCCAGCTATGATTTTTGCCTTGTTAACTCTGCAGGTTGGATCCATGCTGTTCTTACCCCTGTGGACTGCCTTGCCTTTGGTGGGAATTTTTTACACAGCCTTAACATTGAAATGCAGCTCAAGTAAGTCCTGAAGTTGGTCATTCCTATCCACCAGAATTCTTGGGCTCTTCCATAAAGTGAGCAGCACAGCATAATAAGAGGCAGGACAATCAGAAAGAATGGATTCTGGTTCCTGAAAATGTTCAGCTTGAGAAAATATCTTTTCCTCACTTAGTAGTTATGTGACTTTGGGTAAGTCATATAACTTTTGAGGCTAAAGTTTTCTACTGTATAATTCAAGGTTTTATGGATTTATTGTGAGAATCAGAGATAGATACATGGCATCCAGAATAATACCTGGTTCATAGCATGTGCTCAGTAAATGGATCCTTGTAATTGTTATGTCTCCTCTTTCCAGAGCCTATGAGATTGAGAAGAGGCTAAGCACAGCAGATCTTTTCAAGTTCCCCAACTTTGAGACCATCTGTTGGTATGTGGGAAAGCACATTCTGGATATATTTCGAGGTATGGAGCCCTTTTCCAGCTCTTCCTTTTGCCCTGCTCCCTAGAGAGAGAGAGAATATGAGTAACTATCACCTAAGATTAGATACAGTGGTATTCTATCACCACAAAGACCTCACTATGTATATCAAAACATCATGTTGTACACCTTAAATGTAAACAAAAAAATGTAAAAAGCAATAAATTGCTACTTTAAAAATGTTTCTAATAATATCCCTTTAGACTATCACCCACTTTCTTCCCCTGCACTATCCATAATTTCTGAAAACCAATATTTTCCATCTCTACAATTTTATCATTTCAAGAATACTATATAAATGAAATCATACAGTGTATCTTTGGAGATTTGTTTTTTTTTTTTTTTATTCAGCATAAGGTATGGCAGAGCATGGATTTAAATATATTTTTTTAAATTTTTGGTACCAGGAATTGAGCTCAGAGGCACTGAACCACTGAACCACATATCCAGCCCTATTTTGTATTTTATTTAGAGACAGGGTTGCACTGAGTTGCTTAGCAACTCACTTTTGCTGAGGTAGACTTTGAACTCACAATCCTTCTGCCTCAGTCTTCTGCTCCACCACCACGCTCATCAGCTTAAATCTTTTGTTGTTGTTGTTGTTGTTTACCAAATATAGCTGAAAAAATTGGATCACAGTGAAATTATCACTATTTCCTGCTAGTTAAGGTCAGAAGCACAGTTTGGATTTGTCAAGGAGTTTCCTGGATGTGTTTTCGAGTACTGACCATCCTGGCATCATGTTGATTCCTGGGTATCAGCCCAGATGGATGCCAACTTAACTGGTTTCCTCTTTCTTAGTTTGTTCTGAAATAGAATGAGTCCCTTGTTCCAGCCTGAGACTTATTATTTTTTTAAGGTGACTTGGCTAGGAGGAATCAGTATTTCAGAGTTACAAAGGACCTAAGAGCCCAATGAGTACAGTTTCCTACTCAGTACCTTAAAACCTTATTCTATCACCTGGATAGACTCTGACTTAAGTGTTCAATCAGGAATACTGCCTACTTATTACCTATCCTGAAGAGCTTGTTTTTGTAGAAATCCTTTATAGAGCTTAAACCTGTTTTATTTTTTAAATATTTATTTATTTTAGTTGTACACAATACCCTTGTTTCTATTTATTTATTTTTATGTGGTGCTGAGGATCGAACCCAGGGCCTCACATGCGCTAGGCGAGCACTCTACCACTGAGCCATAACCCCAGCCCTTAAATCTGTTTTTTTTTTTTAATTAAAGCCTATCCTGAAGAAAGGTAAAACACAGATAATCCATCTTCTACACTGATGATTCTTTAAATCTGTAGTAATTATGGTCCTCCCAAGTGTTCTCATTTTGAGACCTAAGAGGCAGAGTAATGCAATGGTAGGATCACAGCCCCAGAAACAAATAGACATGGTTTAAGTCTTGGCTCTAATATTTATCACATATATACATCCTTCATTGAGTTTCAGTTTCCTAAACTGTAAAAAGAAGATAATAATTCCTGGCTTGCAGGGTGGATATAAGGATTAAATAAGATAATAGATGTTAAGTGCCTAGCCTGTAAGTAAGTGGGTTCTCAGCAAGTGAATACTGTTAGAATAACTGAGATCTTGAGTTGAGCTCAGAACCCTGAGCATTTTTCTGGTTCCTGAACAAAGGTAACAGGTCTTCACTTCCCTGCATGAGTTTTGTTGATATTACATTCTTCTTTCCCCCTTTAGGTTTGCGAGAGAACAGGAGACACCCTGCCTCCTACCTGGTCCATGGTGGCAAAGCCCTGAACTTGGCTTTTAGAGCCTGGACAAGGAAAGAAGTAAATATTTCTATTTCTATACCTCCTCAGGAGTTCTGCACTCTGTAGGGACTGGCTTTGTATAGATAGATACTTTGGTGAGATAGAAAAAAGACAAGAGGCTTGTAGGCTCCTGGATATAGAATAGAATTCTGGACTAGGATTCCTTGAATTACTTTATTTATTTATGGTACTGTGAGTTGAACCCAAGGGTACTCTGTTACTAAGCTATATCCCCAGCCAATTTTATTTATTTTTTAGATGGGGTCTTACTGTGTTGCCCAGGCTGACCTTAACTTTCAGTCCTCCTGTTTTAGTCTCTCACGTAACTGGGATTACAGGCATGTACCACCATACCAGGCTCCTTCTGGTCTTTTTTGTGTATTTTTAAAAAAATAATTGCTATTGCATTGAATACTCAATTTTGTATGAGAGTCTGTTGGAATACCTTAATTTTCCTGTGTTATTCCAGAGTTATCCATAAACATTAGTAGTTTAAATTTTATTCTTTTTTTTAAAGAGAGAGAGAGAGAGAGAGAGTATTTTTTAATGTTTAATTTTTAGTTTTCGGCGGACACAACGTCTTTGTTTTGTATGTGGTGCTGAGGATTGAACCCGGGCCACACGCCTGCCAGGAGAGCGAGCTACCGCTTGAGCCACATCCCCAGCCCTAAATTTTATTCTTTAATAGTTACATTATATTCTTTTACGAGGACATACCATCTTTACCTAATCACTTGTTTATTGTTGCTTCCTTTTTATTTATTTGGACGAATGTAGTCACAGAAAATCATACAATGAATATCTATATGCATCAGTCTTAGTCCCTCATCTCCCCCCACTTATCTATTTTTTAAAAAATATTTTTCAGTTGTAGATGGGCATAATATATTTATTTATTTTTATGTGGTGCTGAGGATTGAACCCAGTGCCTCACACATGCGAGGCAGGCGCTCTATCTGAGCTACAGCCTCCCGCCTTGTCTCTTAATTGTTCCTTCAGAATAGATTCCTGGAAGATCAATTACTAGATTGAAGTCTATGAAAAAATATAAGGCTCTTGATACACGCTGCCAAAATGGTATTTTAGGAATGTATCAATATCTATCTACCCAACTGAGTACTAAGTAGGTATAAAAGAGAATAAGAAGGGGCTGGGGATGTGGCTCAAGTGGTAGCGCGCTCGCCTGGCATGCGTGCAGCCCGGGTTCGATCCTCAGCACCACATACAAACAAAGATGTTGTGTTCACCGAAAAATAAATAAATAAATATTTAAAAAAAAAAAAAGAGAATAAGAAACTCTCTATGTACTGATTTCCAGAATTTGTCAAGTAAAGATGCAGAATTGTATGTATAGTATGCTATCTTTAATATGTTCAAGGACGGAAACAATAATTGTTTTTGTGTATACTCATATTTGCCTGAAGATACAATCTGGAATAATTCAGAAACTAAGAAAGTGGTTACCTGTTGTGTAGGGATTATGGGGCTGATGTCAGAGACAAGGTAGGAGTGAGGCCATACATATATATATACACATACACGCACATGCGCATATACGCACACGAGATTTTTGAACCATGTGAATTGACTACATTTTCAAAATTTTTAAACAACTGACTTTAAGAAATACAAAAATTAGAATAAATAACAGTACATATTTAGGCTTCAAATATTCTACCAACTTCTTCCCTTTCATACAGTGACTTAAGGGTACCTTTTATCCATTGTGGGCTTAACCTGCACAATCTCTCCATTTTCTCTTGCCAGACTTCCCCACAGATATTTTTAGACTTTATGTTTAGGGCCTTCTCTTACTCCCTGAATTCACCTATACCTGGGCCTTAGACTGTGATTCTGCTTCTATGCACTCTTCAGGCATGGCTACCTTTAATTTCACCTCTGATCCCTTCCCTGAAGTAAACTTTAGAGTGATTCTGTCCTAGGAACAGCAAAAGGGAAGTGGGTGGGTGAATCCTTAAGCATTCAAGCCCTGAGTCAGAATGGACCTGGGGACCAAGTAATGGCCCTGAGCAGCATCACCAAAGGGGGTTGGGGGAGAGTAGGATGCAGTTCTGAAGAACCTACTCTCAAGAAGAAGTCTTTTGTGAAAGCCAGGTGACTTTCATAGGAGGCATTTCTTCCCTCACATTTCCAGAGTCCCTGGTCTGGGGGAGAAGGAGCCATTAAAGATTATCCAGCTGGGTCACTTGGGTTCCCAGCCACCTAAATAATTCTAGATATATTACAAAAAGGGGGAAAAGAATAAGACCATGAGAAACAAGAAGGAAATGCTGAGAAATTTGTCAAAGTCAGTCCTCTGGATTACAGAAGTGAAGTGAAAAGTGGTGGAAGAAATCACAAGGGAAAACTTTGCAATCATCAAAAAGATGGTACACATTGGCATTCTCCTGTAATCCCAGGTACTCATGAGGCTGAGGCAAGAGGATTGCAAGTTTGAGGCCATCCTGGGCAACTTAATGAGCCCTGTCTCAAAAAATAAAAAAAGGGCTGGGGGATGTAGTTCAGTGTTAGAGCATCCCTGGGTTTAATTCCCAGTACTAAAGTAAACAACTATCAGGTATCACCCTGGGTAGCTGTTGCACTTGCCTTGGGCCTGTAGGTGTGCAGTGAGCACTGAGTTGTGTCCTCCCAAGTGGAGGGGATTGCTTGTTCCCATTGATCTTAAGATTAAAGTCCTTGGCTTTATAAGGTCTGTGACCCAAGCCCACAACTGAATCCCTTTCTCGATACTGTCCTTTATCAGATATATGTTTTACAAACATTTTCTTTCAGTCTGTGTCTTGTCTCCCAGTACTAGAAGTTTTTCAAATACAAATTCTTTTTGGTGGGGGGGGGCACGTGTCATGGGGTTTGAACCCAGGGTCTTGTGTTAGCTAGACAAGTGCTCAATCACTAAATGACATCCTCAGCCCCAAGTTTTTTTTTTTTTTTTTTTTTTTTTGAGGTGGGTGTACCAGGGATTGAACTCAGGGGCAATCAACCACTGAGCTACATCCTCAGCCCTATTTTGTATTTTATTTAGAGACAGGGTCTCACTGAGTTGCTTAGCACCTCTCTTTTGCTGAGGCTGGCTTTAAACTCTTGATCCTTCTGCCTCAGCCTCCTGAGCTGTTGGGGATTATTAGTCATGCGCCACTGTGCCCAATCTCAAGGTTATTTTTTATTTTTAATTTTTAGTTGTAGTTGGACACAATACCTTTATTTTATTTATTTTAACGTGGTACTGAGGATCGAACCCAGTGCCTCGCACGTGATAGGTGAGCACTCTATCGCTGATCCACAACTTCAGGCCCTCAAGGTTATTTTTGATAAATCCAAATGATCATGTTTTTCTTTTCTGGTTCATGCTAGTTGTGTCTTAAGAAATCTTTGCCTAGCCAAAGGCCACAAAGATATTCTCCTGTATTCTAAAGGGTTTATAGTTTTAGGTTTTACATTTAGGTCTGTGATCCATTGCATATGGGATGGAAGGGGAGTGTAAGAAGTGAACTGAGTTTTTGTTAATGTGTGGAAATCTAATTGGTCCAGTACCAGTTTTTAGAAAAAAGAGTACCCTTTCTCAATTGAATTGCCTTGGCTGGTTTGTTGAAAATTACAACAAATGAGCCATTTGTGTGTGGGTCTATTTCTCGTGCCTCTTGTTTGACAGGCTCTGCCAGACCATGAAGATGAGATCCCGGATACGGTGCGGACCGTACAGCTCATTAAAGATCTGGCTAGGGAGATCCGCCTTGTTGAAGTAAGAAACATTGGGGGAGGGAAGGCATTTGGGAAGGGCTCCAGACTTAAGTGTCAGGTCAGGACTTTGTAGTTAGCATAAAGCCCAAGGGAAGGGTTGGAAAGACCCCACCAAGGGGTCAAGTCAGTCATTAAGGCAATTATTATGTGCTTCAAATATATGTAATGCATTGGGCAAGGCTCTTAATATGCATGAATAATGCAGGGCCTGTCCAACAAAGAACTCCTAGTTAAGAAGATCCTGAACAAAATTAACCTCTCCAAGCCTCAGTTTCCTGAACATCTTTAAAATGAGGATAATTGTACCCAATCGAGTATTGTTAGTAGGAATAAATAAGGTTTGAGCATTTAGTATAGTGCTTGGCACATAGTAGATGCTCAAATTCTGGTGGTGGGTGGTGGTAGTGGTAGTTATAGTTGTTGTTATTATTAATATTTTGACTCAGTCTCTGCATTCTACAAAATGACAGTTCTCTCGGGTTGAAGATGATTACAAAGCCATGTTTCAACAGGTGGCATATACTACGAGGCAGTAAGGTATAGTGGTAAGAGACTCAGAGAAACCTGGGTTTCTAGTTCCTGCTGTGTCACTTGAAAGCCTTTCAGAGCCTAGTTTCTCCATCTTTAAAATGAGGACCAACTTTACCAACCTTTCAGAACTTTGGTACAATTAATAGCTAATATATGTAGAGCTCCTTCACACAGTGCCTGGCAGAGTAAGTACTCAATAAATGTGAGCTGTTGTTATTAATAGACTTTGTAGCAGAGAGAACTCAGTGTGGGCTGGTGAAGTAGCAGAGACACCAGAGGAGAATTGGACTTGAGGATATTTAAACTGTCTTTTTAGCTCAGGAGCAGTAAAGTTCCATTTTAGCACTCAGGGCATGCATCTATGCTTAAGGGTGGTCAAGTGAGCTACTAGAAGTTGGACTTCTAGCCTCACTGCTTGCAGTGTTTCAATCCCCAGCACAAGTGTGTCCATAGTATCCACCTCCTACCTCATTTTCCTTCACTCCAAGTGTTAAAATCCTTCAGGATTTAGTTAAGGCCTACCTTTTCTCCAGCTCTTCCCACTCAAGTCAATCTTGGACACACAGTATACTTTGGACTGGTTGAAAGAGAACTTAGAGCAATCTGGTCCATTGGCTTTCAAATGTTTTAAAGTAACAGAATCTTCTTTTCAAATGAAATCTTGTGTGCAAGCCCTGTGTATACAATGAGTCAAAGCACAGCTGCTTTGATTAAGATGAAGGTGGGAGGCTTAGGGCTCTATTTGTTCTTCTCATCTGTTTTCCACCTACCTTCAGTCCCTAGAGCTTCTCCCCAAAAGCTCTAAAGAATCCCAGAAATATTTGTAAACCTCCTGTCCAGTCTAGTCCCTTAATTTTAGAACTGAGCAAACAGAACTTCAGGGTAGTCAGGTAACTTTCCTGAGTCACATAGCTAGCTAGTAGCAAAATTAGGTTTGAAACCTCTCTCCTCCTCTCAAATCCTATAGTCCTAAAAATTTGAATCACACAGTTTAATAGTTGATTATTTTCTGTTGTATGTCAGCTACTTTTGGAGTTGTTTCTCTCCAATTTTGACAATAGTGCTGGACCTTTCTTTTGCTCGTCTTCTCCTTATTTGTCAATGGCTGGGCAAAGAAATGCCACCCAATAAATTCTTGATGACTTGTGTAAAAACTAGGGTGTGCATATGTGGAGCATTTGTAAGCTACTTCCATGGCAGTACTGCGAGTGCCGGGAACAGACCTCTGCTCTTAGCATAGAGAACCCTTGAGTAAGCTCTAACCCCCTCATGTACTAACACTCTTGTAGGACATCTTCCAACAGAACGTTGGGAAGACGAGCAATATCTTTGGGCTGCAGAGGATCTTCCCAGCCGGCTCCATTCCCTTAACCAGGCCAGCCCATTCCACTTCAGTGTCCATGTCCAGGCTGTCACTGCCCTCCAAAAGTGTTCCAAAGAAGAAAGTCCTGAAGCCCAAGGAACTCTTCAAGAAGGCAGAGCGAAAGGGCAAGGAGAGTTCAGCCTTGGGGCCTGCTGGCCAGTTGAGCTATAATCTCATGGACCCATACAATCATCAGACACTGAAGACAGGCTCTTCCCAGAAAGCAAAGGTGGGTGCTGGCCCATGGGTTCAGCCCAACCCTTTTGGGTCCCTTGGAAGAGCAGAGTTTCAAAAGGACAGACTATCCTGTCTTGCTCCCACTTCCCTTAGGACCCCTAGTGTTTGGCTACCAGTCCCACTTATTTAACAAGCATTTATTGAGACCTTTTCTATGCTGGGCACTGTGATAGGTGCTGTGGATGTAACTCTCAAGAGACTGATAGGTTGGTGAGAAAGATAGGCATTAAAACAAATGAATGCAATGAAGTGTTGTGGATGCTACAATGAAGGGTATGTGTGGGACCCTGAGAGACAGAGGTGGGTTGAGTCTGTCTTAGTAAGAGAGGTGATCAGGAGCTCTTTTCTAAAAAAAAAAAATATGACATTTGAGCTGAATCTTGAAATGCTGGGATTGAAATGAGATTTTAGAACATTGTGTGTCAGATTGGAGTCTTGAACAGGTCCTTGAGAAAAGCCATCCCCCAGGGGTCCACCTTGCATCAAGATTATAGTGCCCTCCATGGGCATGTGAAGATGCCCCTCTCCTTTTTTTTTTTAGGGAACATGTTTTACAAGATTGGTAGATTTCCCCTGAGCCATACATTCTCAACATCCTATTCTTGTGATTATTGGGTGGTGGTGGGGAGATATAGTAGAAGGTTCAGGGGGTTTTGACAGTGAACTCAACCAGTGAAACCAGAGGGAACTGGCCATCTTCATTCACCTCGGAGTCTCAGACAGGAGACAACTGAGCCTCCTCCTCCTGCAGTTCAACATCACTGGTACCTGCTTGAATGACTCAGATGATGACTCACCAGACATGGACCTTGATGGGAATGAGAGCCCGCTGGCCCTATTGATGGCTAATGGCAGGTGAGGTGGAAAAAAGAAAAACAGTTTTTGGGATGTCAGTGGCAATATGCCACTAAGACAGGGAGTGGAATTGGGATCCAGGGGTTTGACAAGGGTGGGGGAGGGCTATACTTAGGGCAATACCCAGATATTATCATGTATCATTGCTTATATTAGAGAATCATGGTGGGTAGGAATCTAATTGGCAATTCTGAGAAAATGCTTATATAAATCTAGAATTTCAGTAAGTCAGTGGGATGGAACCACTGGCTGAAAAAAAAAGTATTTTATTGGTCAGAAGCATTAGTGTTTTATATACCTTTTGACTTGTGGTTTGATTTTTGGAATTTTGTTTATAGAAATCTTTGCACAAATGTGTAAAGAGAAATGTTCACTGCTCAACTGCATCACTATTTGTAGTAATAATTAGAAATGGTCAAATATTCATCAGTGAATGTTAGATATATAAATTATGATATGTCTTACAGAATGGAATATCATGTAGTTGTTTGAAAAAAATGGGACATTTTTAATATCCATTGACACAGAAAGATGACCAAGATATATCCATATATCTATAAGTATATAGATATATCTATCTATCTATTTTTTGAGATGGGGTTTTTCTATGTTGTCCAGGGTCTTCTTGAACTCCCGTGCTTAAGGGGTGCTTCTGTGTTAGCCTCCCAAGTAGTTGGGACTACAGAGAGTTCAGCCTTGGGGCCTGCTGGCCAGTTGTGCCCCGCTTCAAGATATATTCTCAAGTGAAAAAAATTAGGTTACAAAATAATGTATAAGAATAGTCCCATTTTATTTTTTAAAAAGTCATGTATGCACACATGTAGTCCTTTGTTTAAATCCCAACTCTGACACTATATTTACTGTGACACTTTGGTAATTCAATTCATCTTTCTGCATCTTAGTGTTGTCATTTTATCTGTTCTACATATGAAGCTTGCTTTAGGATTATTGGGGGATTAAATAACACAATATGTGTAAAATTCTTATTATGGTACCTGGCACATAGTAGTTGCTTAATAAATGGTAGTTCTTATCAAAGTGCTGATAAAATGGAGATCAAAGGTAATGATGATGATGTGGGTATGGCCAAAAGCTAAGTAGTTCATCAGTAAACCCTGAAATATGTAGGGAAGCAGAGGTAGGGGAGGGCAGTAAGGGCTATCACCTGGATACTCAGAACACTACAGACAGCAAAGTCAAGAGTCAAGTACAGAGTATGAATAATATAGAGACACAATGATGATACTTTAATAGCCTTTTTGTAGAAAAAGGCTCACTTTAAATCTCAAGGGAGAATGTAGTGTGTAGTAGTTCTGTGTGACTGGAAAATAAGAAAATGGAGTAAGGGTAGAGAAGATTCTGAAAGCACAACTGTTCTTGGGGTGTGAAAACTGAGTTACTGAAGAGTAAGATTACAGAAAATTTTGAGCATTGCCTTCGTTCAGAATTCCTGGTAGGTTTCCTGGAGAGGAAAAAATTGAGAGCCCTAAAACTTCAGTTTATAATGGCCATTGAGAATACTGAGAGATATTCCCCCTTCCCCACCAGTCTTTCTCTTATGCTGCTTCTCTTACCTGCTGCAGCTGTCAGAAGCTATCATTAAGTGAATAGAGTGTCAAGGTGTAGAAATATTTACAGATCATAATGATAATATGTTTGGGCTTTTCTTCAAATTCAGTGTTTTGCAGGGAATGAGGTATAGATGAAACAAGATTCGCTGTATGTTCACACTTGTTGAAATTTAGCTAGGTACTAGATGGGAGTTCATTGTATATTTTTATTTTTGTATATGTTTGAAATTTTTCATAATTTGAAGTTAAAAGATCAGGGTATGGATAACATTTATTGAGCATCTGTGTTGTATCAAACTCTATCTTAGCTATTTACATTTTATTTAGTCCTCAAAACAACCATCAAGGTATTGTTATACCCATTTTACTTAAGTGATAACTGAGGCCCAAACAGCTTAATTGTACTAGTAGCCACCATTGGGCACTTGTCATGCACTAACTCATTTTATCTTCCAACAAGTGTATGAGATAGAAAATAGGTCAATTTAATAGGTCAGTTCTCTGAAAGATACTTCAACAAAAATGAGTAGTAGATGAATGTGTGAATACACTGATTTATCAGAAACTTGTTTTCTTTTTGAAAATTGTTTAATATTGTTTACCATATGTAACAGGATTGCTGAAGCCATTTTTGAATTTTTTTCCATTTCCTTCATAGATATGTATTTTTGATAGACATACTTTTTGTAACATATTTATGAGGTACACTGTGATGCTTTGATTCATAATACACTAGGTAGTTGTCAATCCAGAATAATTATTTACTTTTTTTAGTTATATGTGGACAACATGCCTTTATTTGTTTAGTTCTTTATGCAGTACTAAGGATTAACACCTAGTGCCTCACACATGCTAGGCAAATGCTCTGCCACTGAGGTACAGACCCAGCCCAATTATTTACTTTTTAATTTTTTTTTGTACAAGGGCTTGAATGTGGGATAGGGGAGGTTTCCACTGAGCTATATCCCCAGTCTGAGTAATTATTTCATTATGATGCATACAAGTTCCTCTTTTTAACTATTTTAAGATTATAATGTGTTTCTATTAGGTATAGTCACCCTGCCATGCTGTAGAATGTCAGAACTTATTCATCTTCTCAACCAATAATTATGTACCCATTGATTGACTTCTTTATTTTCCCCTTTCTCATTTTCTCCCTGGTCTCTGGTAACCAACCACTACTCCATTATCAACTTTTATGAAATAAACTTTTTAGGTTCTTCTTATGAGTGGGATCTTTTGAGGTATAATTTATATACCATAAAACTAACTTTCAGGGGCTGGGGTTGTGGCTCAGTGGTAAAGTGCTTGCCTAACATGCACAAGGCACTGGGTTTGATTCCCGGCACCATATAAAAATAAAAACAAATAAAATAAAGGTATTGTGTCCATCTAAAAAAAACCTGACCTGTTCCAAGTATACAATTAAATGAATTTTAGTAAATTTATAGAATCATGCATCCATCACCACAATCCAGTTTTTTTGTTTGGTGGGGATTGCACCTAGCATTCACACATGCTAGGCATGCACTGTACCACTCAACTAAATCGTAAACCCCAGAATCCAATTTTAGAACATCTCTTTCATGCTCAAAAGATTCCTTATGACCATAGGCACTCATTCTCATACAGTCTCTAGCAACTGCTGATTTTCTTTCTGTCTATAAATTTGTTTTTGTGGATATTTCACATAATGAAATCAAGTAACATGGCTTCTTTCAGGGCATGATATTTTTCATATTCATCAATGATTTAGCATGTTTCATTAGTTGGTTCCTTTTTATTGTTGAATAGTATTGTGTTGTATAGATATACCACTTTCATTTATCCATTCACAAGTTAATAGTCTTTTGGATTGCTTCAACTTTGGAGCTATTCTGAATAATGAATGATGTTCTAAGCATTCATGTTCAAGTTTTTGTGTGGACATATACTTTTGCTTCTTACTTAGAAGTAAAATTGTTAGATCATATGATAACTCCATGTTTAGCTTTTTAAAAAACTATCCAACATTATTCTAAAGTGTCTGTACCATTTTAATTTCCACTAGTAATCATGAGTTTCTGAACATACTGACCACCACTTGTTATTGCTTGCCTTTTTGATTATAGCTATTCTGGTGGGTATAAAGGGGGCACCTCATTGTGTTTTTAAAAAATATGTAAATTGTGTGTGTGCTTGTGTATATATATATATATATATTTTTTCTGTGGTCTTGGGGATCAAACCTAGGACCTGGCACATGCTAGCTAGGTAAGTGCTCTACCACTGTGCTACATACACATCCTTCAAAATTATATATATTTAAGGTTTACAGTATGATGTTTTTGATATACATCGACATTCTGAAATATCAAACTAATTAATACTTCCATCACCTCACATACTTTCCATCTCTGTGTATATATGTGTATTTGTATTAAGAATACAAATATTTTAGGAAATTTTAAGTACCTAGTATAGTAGAATTGATTAGAGTCACTTTGCTGTATATTAAATCTCTAGAACTTATTCATCCTACATAAGTGAAATTTTGACCAATGTCTCTCCTACCTTATCTTACCCCTAATACTAACTATTTTACTTTTTGCTTCTATGAATTTGACTTTTTTAGATTTCACTTTTAAGTGAGATCATGCAGTATTTTTCATTCCATGTTTGGTTTGCTTCACTTAGGAGAATGTCTTCTAGGTTGTCACCAGTGTCAGGATGGTTTTGATTTGCATTTTCCTAATGACCACTGATGTCAAGTATCTTGTATGATTATGGCCATTTGTACATATTACCTTTGGAGAAATGTCTATTTAGATTTTTTGCTTGCCTTTTTTTTTTTGTACTGAGGGTTGAACCCAGGGGCGCTTAACCACTGAGCCTCATCCTGAGCCCTTTTTAAATATTTTATTTAGAAACAAGGTCTTACTAAGTTGCTGAAGCTGGCTTTGAACTTGTGATCCTCCTGCTTTAGTCTCCTGAGCTACTAGGATTGCAGGCGTACACTGTCTTGCCTGGCTTTTGTTTGCCTTGATTTGTCTTACTACTAAATTCTAAGAGTTCTTTAAATATTCTGTGTACAGTTCCTTTACCTGATGAATAATCTTTAAATTCTTTCCAATTTGTGGCTTGACTTTTTGTTTTCTTTTGTTCTTGTTTTGTTTTGAGACAGGATCTTGGTATGTTGCCCAGTCTTGTCCTAAATTCCTGGCCTCAAAAGATCTTCCTGCCCTCAGCCTCCCAAAGAATTAGGCTTCAGGCATATGCCACCATGCCCAGCCTTACTTTTCATTTTCCTAATGGTTTTGTTTGAAGCACAAAAAATTTTATTTTTACCTAATTCCAGGTCACAAAAACATTTTCCTCTGTTTCCTTCTATGAGTTTTATAGTTTTAGTTTTTATATTTAGATCTGTGATGCATTTTGAGTTAACCTTTCTGTATAATGTGAGGTAAGGGTGCTCATTAATTTCTTTGCATCTAAATATCCAGTTGTCTTAGCACTCTTTGTTGCAAGAATCATCCCACACTGAATTGCCTTAATACCACTAAACTTAATACCACTAAACTTTTTAATAGTCGGTTCTTGTTCCAGTATTACACTCCCTTGATTGCTATAACTTTTTAGGTTATAATTTTGAAATCGGGTAGAGTCAGTTCTCGGATCTTTATTCTTTACAAAATAGTGTTGGCTACTTTAAATCCTTTGCATGTCTATGTACTATTATTTTGTCATTTACAGAACAGCTGGTTGAATTTTGATAGGGACTGCATTGAATTTATAGATCAATTTGGGGAGAATTACTACCTTAATTTTTTTTTTTTTTTTTGGTGCTGAGGATTGCACACACCAAGCATACATTCTACCATTGAGCCACACCCCCAGCCCTGCCCCGTTACATGACTCTTTTTATGTTCTCTTTCTCTTTCTCTCTAGTACTAAGAGGGTGAAGAGTTTATCCAAATCTCGGAGAGCCAAAATTGCCAAGAAGGCGGACAAGGCAAGGCTGGTGGCTGAACAGGTGATGGAGGATGAATTTGACTTGGATTCAGATGATGAATTGCAGATTGATGAGAGATTGGGAAAAGAGAAGGCTACCCTGATAATAAGATCAAGTGGGTATCTGTTTTTTCTCTTTCTTGTCCTACCCATTTTACATTTGTTTTTGGCTCCCTTGATAAACTCAAAACCTTAGGCCTGAGCTTGTTGGCATTCTGATTTACCAGGCTGTGTAGTTCTCCATCATTTTCTTTCCTTTAGAGGTTTAATTTTCAGTTAATTCCTCACGTTTCTTTCTTTTTTTGTGTGTGTGTGGGGGGTGGTAACCAGGGATTGAACTCAGGGGCACTCGGCCACTGAGCCACATCCTCAGCCCTGTTTTATATTTTATTTAGAGTCAGGGTCTCACTGAGTCATTTAGTGCTCACTGTTTCTGAGGCTGGCTTTGAACTTGCGATCCTCCTGCCTTAGCCTCCAAGAAATTTAGTCTTATTTTCTTTCTTCTGATTTTTTATCTTGGATGCTAATCTTAGTTTCATGATAAGTATATTCCATTGCTTTTTAGAATTTCCCCGGAAGTTGCCCCGTGCTAAGCCATGCTCTGACCCCAACCGAGTTCGTGAACCAGGAGAAGTTGAGTTTGACATTGAGGTAGGTGCCTGCCCTGTGTCTGGTCTTGTGTTCATTCTGGTCACAGAGACAGAAGACAGATTATCATTTTAGTTGAAAAGGGGGCAAAGATATCCTATGCATTCAATTATTTTGGGGGGGGATAGGGTGCTGGGGATTAAACTCAGGGGCACCCGACCACTGAGCCACATCTCCAGCCTTATTTTGTATTTTACTCAGAGACAGTGTCTCAGTGAGGTGCTTAACATCTCACTTTTTGCTGAGGCTGGCTTTGAACTCTCAATCCTCCTTCCTCAGTCTCCCAGGCTGCTGGGATTACAGGCATGCACCACTGTTCCAGCTACAATTCATGAAATATTTATTAAGTAAAAGATTGTATACTGTGCAGCATGTAAAGGAATATTACAGTTTAGTTGAAAAATTTAAAAACCCTGTAATACAAAAGAGAATAAAATGCAATGTGATATAGCAAAAAGTTATCTGATGCAACTTGCACAAATCATTTTACTTCACTAGACCGTTTTCCCTATTTGTAAAATAGAAGGTATACTGCTTCACAAAGATGTTTTAGAGATTAGGATGAAAGAATAAATACTTTGCTTAGTACTTTGTCTACACTTGGTGCTCAGAAGATATTAGGAGTCAAACTGTCCATCTTGTATTGGGGCCTCAGCAGACCAACCCTGGGCAGCTGAGTTGATGTGCTCTCTCCCCCCAACAGGAGGACTATACAACAGATGAGGACATGGTGGAAGGGGTTGAAGGCAAGCTTGGGAATGGGAGTGGAGCTGGTGGAATTCTTGATCTACTTAAGGCCAGCAGGCAGGTGGGGGGACCTGACTATGCTGCCCTCACGTGAGTACTGTCTTTGATCTCCCATTTCCAGGAAATGAGACAGCATTACCCTCTCCCATCCAAGGAGCTAGGCAACTAATTATCATATATTTATTGATCCATTTAAATGGACAAAGAATTATCCAGAGCATTTAGGCTGAAAGAATAAAAGTAGACATGAAACCTGTCCCAAGGAACTTCAGATCTGACCAGTGATAGGGTGGATAGACTTCAAAGGGGCATCAGTTCTGTGCTCTTTGGAAGTTGGAAGAGAGGCCAAAAGAGTCAGAGAAGGATAACTTTTAAAAAAGGAAAAAATGCAGCATTGTTGAACAGGGAAGGTGGAGTGCCCCCTTTTTGCCATCTTGCTTGCTGTCTGTGGAGAGAGATTTGAGGCTAGAAGGACTGGCTTTTCAGGAAAACAGTCTTTGTTACTGTCTTGATCCATTACCTTGATTCCTAGTTTGTCACCTTGGATGGTTCTCTCCTTCATCCCACCTTGATCCCCACAGCTGATGTCCCTCTTCCCTGACTATTCTGATAACTGGTTTCTTCTGATAGCTAGAGAAACTTCCTTAGCATTTCTCCTCTTTCCCTTGCAGCGAGGCTCCAGCCTCCCCCAGCACTCAGGAGGCCATCCAGGGCATGCTGTGCATGGCCAACCTGCAGTCCTCATCTTCTTCACCGGCTACCTCTAGCCTGCAGGCCTGGTGGACAGGAGGGCAGGACAGAAGCAGTGGGAGTTCCAGCAGTGGTCTGGGCACAGTGTCTAGCAGTCCTGCTTCTCAGCGCACCCCAGGGAAGCGGCCCATCAAGCGTCCTGCATATTGGAGAACCGAGAGCGAGGAAGAGGAGGAGAATGCCAGTCTGGATGAACAGGACAGTTTGGGAGCATGCTTCAAGGATGCAGAGTATAGTAAGGGCAGCTAAGCACATGGGTCCAAGCCAGCATCAGTCTCTCATCCAGTCCCAAGAGAGAATAGCCTGTTGAGCAAAGATGTTACATTAAGCCTGATACTTAGTTTCTCTGAGTCATGTTTTCTTATTCTGTAAAATGGGAGGATATCTCAAAGGTTGATGTAAGAATTAGAGATTATGCTTGCACAGAGTACCTGAACCACCAGTGTCTCGCTGGAGAGAAGTTCTCAAAAAATGGTTGCTCTTATAATTAGCTATTGTCTATTTTTAGTACTGTCCAATTTTCATTCTGGTAACTTTGTTTCCCTCTTATTTTTCTTCTACTACCTGTATTTATGTTTTGTGTTGGCCAGTTCATCACTTGCAAAGGTATACACAATCAGTCCTTCATATCTGTGGGTTCCACAATTGCAGATTCAACTAACAGTGTATTAAAAATCTTCAAAAATCTGCAATGGCGAGGCACTAAGCAACTCAGTGACACCCTGTCTCTAAATAAAATACAAAACAGGGCAGGGGATGTGGCTCAGTGGCTGAGTACCCCTGATTTCAATCTCCAGCACCCAAAAAAAAATCTTTGGAAAAAGAAATTACATCTCTACTGAATATGTACAGATAGTATAACAACTATTTTATTTAGCATCTACATTGTATTAAATATTACAGGTAATCTAGATATGATTTAAAATATACAGGAGAATGTACATAGATATATACAAATGCTGTGCTATTTTATATTAGGGACTGAGCATCCTGGGATTTTGGTTGAGGGGTGGTTCTTGAGACCAGTTCCATGTGGCTACGGAGGGATAACTAGGACTTTTCAGTGGACTTTTTACATTTACAAATGAGTATTTTGAAGCTAAGCTTTTTTGAGGACTACAATGTACTTGTTTGTATAATGCAGATAACATTGTGTGGGTTTTGTTTTAATATTATTTTTTTAAAAACTATAAAATATGGTCAGTGTTCATTGACCAAGATTAAAACAAAGCAGAGAAATCATAACTTCCTTATAACTAACATTCTTCCTCTCTAAGCCCAGTTTGATGTATACCCTTCCTCTCATTCATGTTCACACTCTATATAGACATAATATAGTTAGAAGTGTACTTATTTACTCTGTGTGTTTCTGCAATTTGCTTGGATATTTTCCCCCATTAGTACATAGAGATCTACTTCATATCTCCTTGCTGTATAGTATTTTATAACACAGATGTACATCATATATTTAATTATTCATTTGAAGTTGACATTTAGGTTTGTTTTTAAGTTTATTTTTGTTACTAACAAATGGTGCAATGAAAATATTTGATAATATTTCTTTGCACCCATGTGCCAGTTAATATTTGTCCAGGGTAGACAGACCTGCTGGGTTAAAGGTTATATACAAGATAAATATTAATAGATAGTGCAAAGCTGTCCTTCACTGGGGCCAGCATATTGAGCAGTGTATGAGAAATAACCTGTTTCTCCACAGCCTTCCCTAGCAGTGGAGATATTATCAGCTTTTTGAATTCCATGGGAAAAAATGTTGTTTTAGTTTGTTTTACATGTTTGTTGTTTCTTTATTCCTTTTCTGTGAATTATCTATTCAATCTTTCACCTATTTTTCCTACTGGAATTTTTTTCTTATTGATTTGTAAGAGTTCTGTACGTGTTCTAGATTTGTTGGAATATTTTTTGCTCCAACATATGTTATGGATATGTTGATTTTTTTTGTTAGAGAGGAGCATCATGTATTTTTTCTCATGTCTACACAGACTTCCATATGATTAAGCTTCAATAGGGAGAAGAAGGAAGGGTAGAAGTAAGGAGCGGGGTGAAACTGGTTCTGGGGCCATCAGTATTCTGAACTACTGAAGCAGTTCCAGACTCCTATTTCATTGCCTTACTTCTGGTCTGATCTCTATACCATAGTCAAGTGACCTCCTTAAAGCATGAGGGATAACCTGTCACTCTTCTTAAAACCTCTTGTGGTTTCCCATATCACTTTATAATGGAAACCTAACTTCTAACTATTGCCTTCAAAGCTCTGCATGATCTGCTGCTACCTTCCCCCTCCCCCTCCCACATCTCTCTCCATTTCCTGCTCCTTTCCATCTACATTATACTTCCTGTCATTTATTAAATAACTGTCAACCAGCCACTGTGTCAGAACCATTGTACAGGCTGGTTCTTCCCCCAGAATGCTCTTTCTCAGCTCTTTAAATTACAGAAAAAATATTTCAGTCTATTATATTTTAATTTTATGTATAATATTTTTAGCATGTAGAAGATTCTAACACACTGTGCTATTTTTATAGTTTTTATATTTGTGTTTTCATTAAGAAGCCCTTTTTATATTTTTACCTAAAACTTGTGTAGGAGTTAAAGCTTTTAGTTCTTTATCTGAAGTTAAGCTTTGTGCATTGTGGAAGGTAAGACTTTAGCTTAATTTTGTTTCACGTGAATATTTATTTATCTCCCCCCACTGCATTGTTAACTAGCTCATCATTAGCCCCATGATTTAAAGTCCACCTTTGTCATAAATTGATTTCTCATATATGTGTGTATTTAATTTTCTAGTTCCAGTTCTGTGCCTTGATAGCTATGTGAGTTTAGGAAAGCAAGCTAACTTCTTAGCCTTTTGTGGTAATAGTACTTTAACAGTACCTACTTTGTAGGTTGTTGTGAGGAATGAATATATATATAAAACATTGCCCAACACATCATAAGCACAGTGTGTTAGATATTATTATTAATATTATTCTGTTCCATAAAATTAATCTGTCTAGTCCAGTGGCAATACGATATAGTTTAGTTACTGTAGGTCTTTGTTTCTGGTGAAGCAAACCTGCTCTCCAGAACTTGCTTTGGACCTGAGAGTACAGATGCTCAGCAAGCCCATTATCTATAGGCTAAAGTATAATTGGTCTTAGAGACATGCTAAGTTCCACTGGCCCACCCTACCTTCAACAGCCAGTTGCATCAAAGTACAACTAAGATATCTGGACCTGGTTTAACCAGTCCTCAGAAGAACAAACAGTTCACTCACCTTCTGTTTCTCTTTTCCCCTACTTTGTACAGCTACATGGCAAAAGCAGTTAAAGAGAGATCTCCTTAGGGTTTTTTTTTAATGTTTCCAGAATTTTTGACTGTTAATGAGCTTTTTTCAATTATAGATGAATTTTTAGAAATCAGCTCATCATCAAATTCCATGAACAACCCTTTTAGGATCTTTAAATTAGGTTTGCATGGAATGTGTAAATGAATTTATGAAGACAGACATCTTTCACCGGAGTCCTTTCTAATCTAATGGGTTGTATACATTCCTGAAAAATCTCATGTCCTGAATATTTATGAACAAAAATGTAGGGATTGGGGCTGGGGTTGTGGCTCAGTGGTAGAGCATTTGCGTAGCATGGGTGAGGCACTGGGTTCAATCCTCAGCACCACATAAAGGTAAATAAATAAAGGTATTTTGTCCATCTACAACTAAAAAGTACTTAAAAACACAGGGATTATAAGAAAAAGAAGTTAGGGGCAAGGTGTGGTGGCATATGCTTGTAATTCTAGCAACACAGGAGGCTGACAGAAGGATTGGATGTTCAAGGCTAGCCTCAGCAATTTAGCAAGACCCTAAGCAACTTAGAGAGGCCCTGTGTCAAAATAAAAAAATAAAAAGGGCTGGGGATGTAGCTCAGTGGTAAAGCACTCCTGGGTTCAATCCCCCAGTCCCTCCCACCCCCTACAAAAAAAGGGGAAATAAGTTAAGGTAAATCCCTCAAAATATTATATGAATTTAAAGCCAAAACACTGGCCCAGATAACGGCATTCCTAATAATAATCCTTGCCCAATTAGAGTCCATTGGCATTTACACCCAGCATCACAGTCAGCAGATCATCTATAGCCTTAAAGCATGGACTCTAGTTTTTTACTTCCAGATGTGGATTTTTTTTAAGGTTCTTGGAATTGAACCCAGGGGCATTTTACCACTGTGTTGCATTCCCAGCCACCTTCCTCCATTTGTTTTTGTTTTGTTTTTTTTAATTTTGAGATAGGGTCTTAGTGCTGGTCTCAAACTTGCAATCCTCCTGCCTCAGCTTCCCAGGTAGCTGGCCCAGATGTGAATTCCTGAAAACATTTGATTAAAGTAGGTGTCAACTTCATCAAATTAAAATTGGATCCAGGGCCTTGTCTTTATCAGTCTTTTTCTTTCTTTCTTTCTTTCTTGTGCTGGGAATTAAACCCCAGGGCCTTGTGCATGCTAGGCAATCTCTACCACTGACCTATATTCCTAGTCCTTCTCTCCCTCCCTCCCTCCCTCCCTCCCTCTCTCTCCTTTTTAAACACAGGGGGATGATATTTTTGCAACTTTGTATGCTCTGTCAGCAAGCTTCTTGTCCCACCAGAACCTAATTCGGTTTAAAACGGAGTTACCACTTGGTCTTGCTCTGGTGGGAGGCACTATTGCAGGATTTTTAGCTTTTGTTTGTTTGTCTTCATATATTGCTAAGGATTTCTCTGTAGTTGTAAGGGGGAAAAATACCACTAACTGAGTAAAAACAATATGCCAGGGAAAATTGCTTTTGAACCAGTGCAACTTCTCAACAGCATTGGCATCATTCCTCATACCTTTTAGGTATGAACAATGAACTATTAATAGGCCCTCTTCTCTTCCTGTCATTAAGTGTGGTCTGTCTCTCCATTTATTTAAGTGTTCTTGTATGTATCTTTTTTGGTTTATTTCTTCAGTTTATTCCTAAGTATTTTATTTTGGTTCCTACTAAAAATGACATCTTTTCATGTGTTTGTTTTTTTTCTTTCTAATTGGCTATTTGCTAATATGGAGGAAAAGAGGTGATTTTTCCATATTGATCCTGTATTCTACTCCCTTACTATACTCATTAGTTGTATTAATTTTTCAGTTAATTGATTTACTTCTTTTGAGGTAGGTGACCTATGCATCCTGTATTAGTTTGGTAGATGTGCCCAAAAAAAGAAAAACCACAAAC